CGTAGCGTCCGGCGTGCCGGGCTGGCTCCTCAGCTGAGGGGGGGGGGGGGGGGGGGGGGGGGGTCGGAGGGCTAATTGAAATTTTCCATGTAAGCAGTGTATATACTACCCAAGCAGACAAAAATTTAGAAAAACACTTTTTAACGCGCAAAATGGAACCGCGATTGTGAGCTAGTAACGCTCTTTTAAAAAAAAGTAAAAAACACGTTTTTTAGCGTTTTTTCTAACTTTCTAAGCGCAAAAACGACGAAAAACAGCTGAGGGTGTGGGTATACAGTTCAATTACAATTAGTTATAAAGTATGTGCAATGACAAAAGCAAGGAAAAAAACTGGCACGCGAGATTTTGATAAAGAAAAATGAAATTTTCTTAAATATTGGGGGACTGTGACAATCATAAAAATTTACCATTGGGTCAGCCCTGTCCTAGTTATTCATTTATTGTGATAAGCCGTTCTCTTTTTTTGCTAACTCTGATTCAAATAAATTCTATTGGAAAACTATGATTTCTGCAATACTACTTTCTCATTAATCTTCTGTTTCCTTCTATTTTTTCAAATTCTTCCAAAACGTAAAATATGAATTCTATTTCTTTGACAATCAATTTTGAATGCATTGAAAACATGAAGAAGAAATTTAATAAACAAGTATTACCTTCAGGTGATGAGTCGACAATATCTTCAAAAAATAAATCAAAGTTTTTTGAATCACTTGATTTTTTTAATTGCGCTAATATCTCAAGTTCTTTTTGGAAATCTATTGAATGGCCAGAAGCTCTGTTTGCTTTACATATTTTGATTACAAACGATTCTGGATCATCAGTTGATTGATTATTTTTATTTTTCTCTAACAAATAAACCATTGAAGTTGTACCTTGTCCTAATTTTAGTTTTATATTAAATTTATCACCATATAAATATTCATGAGAATCTATATATAACGTTGAATACTCATAAAAGCTTGAATGCATTGTCAAAAAGTTTATAAATAATGTCCACCCATCTCTATTAAAATAATTTTCTGTTGATTCTTTACTTGTTGTTATTGAGTCAATCGATGATGATTCTGTTTCACGCAAATCATTAAACAATGCAAAACTATCACTTTGATAATAATGAACTACACCTTCCCATGCTCTATTTTCAGCACGATAAAATCTTATACGTTTAGTATTAGTTAGAAAACCATAAACGTGGTAACGATCCTTTTGTACGTTTAATATAGAAACCAAATCACGCATTAATTGTCCGATTGATTCTTCGGAGTCAATAGACATATTTGATGATTTAAATCTACCAATACAAATAACAAAATCTTGTAAAACTTCACGTTCTTCATTCTTGTCGATATTAATATTTTTCAAAATAAAACTACAATCCGGAGTTTTCTTTTTTAAATACTTATACATAGATGTGTTTAAATATTTTAATGATGTAAAACTATCATATTTATGAAATAATTCACCAATTAATTGTTCAAACGTTGATTGAACTTTATATTTTGTAAGTTTATCAACTGATTTCCAAGGACTAAAATACTCTTCAAACATATTTATCATATCATCATCGAAATTATCATTATCATCTAATAAAGATGTAATATCGAACCAAGAAATATAATTACGTACATAACATTCGTAAAAATCAGTATCATTCATTGATGAACTCAAGCATTTATTGATTGGTAACACATTTTGTTCGCATCCGGTTTTCATTCGTTTCCTTGATTCGATTTCTTCTTCTTGTTTCATTTTTTCAATTTCAAGCTGTAATCGTTTTATTTTTGCTTCTTCAATGTGCAGCTCTTTGTCTTTTTGTTTTAGTTTTGTTTCTTCAACAAGTAATTTCAGTTTCAATTGTTCCGGAGTTTCGTCAGAATCATTTGCAGTCATAGTTTTTGTAATTCGTAATTGCTATTTATCTATCAAACAAAGAAAAGTTATTATTATGAAGGTATTTAAATCAGACATAAGTTTGACATAGACTGCATCTATATATATGCATTTAGAAACAAGGTCATCATTGTTTCGATGATGTCGATTGTTTCTGTTAACAATAATCGACCGAACTTCAGAACGAAGCGGCCAAAAACGCTGATTGGTCGTTTTTTAAGAGTACACACTCCAATAGGTGTTCGTCCGTATTTTATCATCATTTTTTCAAAACAGAAAATAGGCCTAATAATATTTCGATAAATTTATCAAATTAGAAATACTAAATCTACGGATTGAAAAGGTGTTCATTTTTATTAATATGGGATATTGTGCTGATTTTTCGCATTAAATTTTCCGATAAATTTATCAAAAATAAACTATTACCAAAAGCATAACTCGACTTAATTAAGGGAGATGAGTCGCCATATGGGTGTGGGTGTGGGTGGGGTGTAGTGGTGGTATGGGTGTAGGTGGGTGTGGGCAGTGTTTTTAATATCAAGTACCCTAAGCAAAAGCAAAGTACCCGAGGTACTTGGGTGTGAGGGTGTGGGTGTGGGGTGTGGGTGGGTGTGGGTGTGGGTGTGTGGGTGTGTGGGTATGGGTGTGGGTGTGTGGATGTGGGTGTAGATGTCAGGTGTCCGGTAAGATAAGAGCCAAACCCACACCCACCCACACCCAAATATGTTTTCAAAAAGAGAACCAACAATTAAACCTAAAGGTTTACATATGCTCAATAAAGTACAACAAGAAGCATGCGAAAAAGTCAAAAATGAACGTGTTACCCTCATTTACTTGGGTTTGATTAATTATTGTTACCTAAGGATTTCGTAATCTGATAACGGCAACTAAGTGTATAAAAGTTTCAATTGATCAAAATTCTCATTTAAAAAGAAATTGCCAAGATAGAACGATTGTTATTAGATAATAAATCCTGCACAGCATAGTTAGGTGGCAACTGGTGACATTTCTTCGAATTGACTCTAGCGAGCTATTGTCTTGAACTATAGCACATCAAACGATCGTTACTAATGTAATATGAACTAAACTGTACCTTACTCTCTGCAACAGTGACTTGATTAGGAACACTTTTTTAATGTTTTTGTACTCGAGTAAAGCTCTTCTTGGAAAAAGAAATTCTATTTTGTGATGTTCTCTGACACTACCATTTTTATATAATTGTTTATAGGTACTGGCAAAACTTATTGGTCTGGTGTTACTGTTTTCCAAATGTTAATGTTTTCATCTTCATCATTATGTGTATTAATCACAGTTTGTACTCATACAGCAATTGATAATCTTCTATTATCAATTAATTATTTGAAAAATCTATTTTCTTCATCACCACAATTTCCTCAATGGTATCAATTAGCTCAAGAATTAGCTGTATTAAAAATAGAATCAAATAATTAT